CTGAAGTCCCTTGGCCCTTAAAGGGGAAAGGTTGCCTACCCCTGTTAACCCTACTTAGTTCAGTGGGATTTGCTGTTCTTAGATATGATCGCCCAATTCTAATGTGACTTTCTGAAGTAAGCTCCATTTATTTCCATGGGATTTTCTCTTGAGGAAGATTCCTAATAGTTGGGACTGTTAGTATGCAACTCCTACCCAACAGTAGAAAAGCCTGTGGTGGACCCAGATTGAAGTCTAATGGCTATAAGAGATATTTTGGTGAAGGGCTGGTGGTTGGAATTATTCCCCTGTCACCAGAGGAAGCCTAGAAGTGTATAATTATCCCCATGATATATAGAATTAGCTTTCACAGCAGTTTGGTCCAGAGTTATTACACGGTGTACAGAGAGGGTGTAGCTCTGTTTTGTACTACAGCTGGACTCATGTTCCTTGTTCTGTGTGCCAGATCCTAAAAATAACTTGAATCTTCCTCAAAAAGTATGGATCCAGGCAAGGAGTCTGTCTTGTGGGGTTTCAGCTAAATCTTTTTGTTGGAGCCAAAGCTGACAACTGCATGGTTTCCTTTCTCCTGTTTTTATTCTTTTAGCTAATAATTGGCTGGCATGTTGTCACATAATTTATCCAGCAGACAAGATATGACAGCAGTCAAGATAAAAAATGTAATTAAAATTTATACAGGTTAAGTTTCCCTTATCTGGAATTCCAAACCATTCCAAAATCCCAAATTGTAGACATGGGTGACTGAGAGAGTGACACCTTTGCTTTCTGATGGTTCAGTTTACACAAACTTTGTCTTATGCACAAAATTATTAAAAATATTATGTATAAAATTACCTTCAAGCTGTGTTTATAAGGTGTATAGTAAAACATTAATACATTTCATGTTTAGACAGGTCCCATCTCTAAGGATTCTCATTATGTATATAGAAATTTTCCAAAATCTGCAAAAAATCTGAAATCCAAAACATTTCTGGTTCAAAACATTTCTGTTTCAGATAAGGCAGACTCAGCCAGTATCTATTTATTCATATTATCCCCGTATAATAGCTATTTCATATGATTCACCATAGCGTCAGTTTTGCCTTCACTTCCTTGGGAAGGAAGTTTGTTCAAACTCTGTAAATGCAGGAACAGCCCCTGTGGATTACATGAATGGCCTGTCTAGGTCAGCATCTGGTTTCATGTTATGGCCAGCCAGATACCTATGGAAAGCCCATATGCAGGTCATGAGGGCAATAACTTTCATTTTAGTCCCCTGACAAATGGCATTCAGAAGCATTTTTGGGCCTGGAGGTATCATGACCAGTAGCCATCACTGGCCTTATCTGCTTACATGAATTGTCTGTTTTCCTTTGATGGCAATCTTACTTTATAATCATCAGCACTTGTGACAGCAAATTCTGTGGTTTAACTGTACACAATGCAAAGAAGTAGTACTTTATTCTGTCCAGAACATCTTGCAAATCAGCTTCATTTGATGACCCTGGGTTCTGGCACTATAAGAGAAAGTGAAAATGCCATATACAGGTCATGGCTTGTCATGGCTTGATGCAGTGGAATTCTGGGACTTGTATTTTTGTGAGTTATTTAACTTTTTTTTGACAGAGCGTTCTGGTGCCACAACAAACTACAAATCCCATTATTCCATAGGATGGAACCATGGCAATTATAGTGGTGTCAAACTGCATTAATTCTGTGGTGTGGCAGCAGCCTTGGTTAATCAAGTCTCTGAGAAAGAAGCTACTTTTTAAAAAGTCTTTTTTGTGCCTGCCCAACCCCTCCTTCCTCCTTGTCCTCCCTCCAGATGGAAGCTTTTTTAGCAGCATCAACACTGGGAAGATGGTGAAAGGGGGCCGCAGACACATGCAACATTCAGCAGCAGCAATCTTGGGCTGGGAGAGAATGGGATTCTCTTGTAGCTGATCCCACTGTAGCTATGTGTGGCAGTCTACAAGGGGCAAGGTGGACACCAGCTACTTCTGGCAGTGCTTACTGAAAATGTGTGAACAACAAAATAGAGAAAAAAGGGGAGAGTAAATAAGCTTGCCTCACCAGCTATTTCCAACAATAAAAAAGAATAGGGCAATAAGTTTGGCCACCAAAACAGAAACTATAAGAAAAGTGGACAATGGTGAAAGAGAAAATCATTCTAGTACATTCAGTGATTTTGTTTATTCATGCAGTCAGTTGTTTCATTTCACATGTGTGTATCTTTCGTTCTGAATTAAGTCTGCTGAAACATGTTCAAGCTACTCTTTTTTTTTTTGTGAAATAGAAACCCCCCCCCCCCCATTCTTTTGATGTTCTTTATGCTTCTGGTGCCAAAGTGTCTGTTAAGTAATGCCCAGGGACACATCTAATTTGTTAAATGAGATATACCTCTATATACTTAATCAGTTCTTCTCTCTAGTTTGTTATTTTTATGTTCCATCAAAATCTAGATACTGTAACCTTTCGTCATAGAAACATTGCTCCAGTTCCTCAGATTTGACTGCTTTTTTCTGTACTTTTTCAAATTCCAATGTCCCTTTTGAGATTCATGGACCAGAAATGGGGCTTCCTTCTGAACAAACCTGCACAAGATTGTTCTGTGTAGGTCTACCATAACTAGGACCATCTGTACTTTTATAGGTGTATCATAAAATGGTTACTTCTTTCTGTTTTATTTTATTGATAAAAAAACTCAGATTGGGACTGTTTCCACATGTGCTTTTAGTGTCATAATTCTCAGTCCAGAGATGATTAGACAGTCACATCATGTAGTCTGGAAGAAAGCTATCTGCCTGGTGTGGAGTGTGTGAAAATTGTCTCAGTTGCTACAGCAGAGAGGGTTTACACAAGTTGGTTCATTTTGACTTTGACGTCTCCAACAACTTGAAAAGGGATGTGTGAGCAAGCTGACTAAGAATGTTTGGCAACTTTTTCATATATTGCTATATTATTAAAATTTAAACCATAATGAGACCCTTTTGGAATCTTAAAGATAATTCCTCCCAAAATTAATTAATTTTCAACATAATGTGAGCGTACTGAGTGTGGTCTACTAGGGGACAGCCTAACTTACAGTGTAATTCAAAACAATGCAGCTAGTTTTTCTGTAGCCAAATACACATATTTGCAGGTTTTATTCATCAGTTTTATTTATGGAGGTTGCCAAGGTTACTTTTTGTGTTGTAGAGTGAAGGTTACTACTGAATTGTGTTACGAGAGCTTCACTGTTAGGGCCTTTGCAGACTGCCAGAAATAGTGCAAATTGAGTCCAATTTAACTGTCGTGGCTCAGTGCTAGGGAATCATGGGAACTGTAGTTTATTGTGGCATCAGAGCTCTCTGACAGAGAAGGCTCAATGTCTCAGCAAAAAACACAATTCCTATGATTCCCTAGCACTGAGCCAAGACAGTTAAAGTGGACTCGATTTGCACTATTTCTAGCAGTCTGCAAAAGCCCTTAGTATCTGGAGAAAGAACATGGGTCCCCGGCTAATGTGGAAAAATAACAGGTAAATAAGATAGTCAAACTGAGGAGGTTTAAGGAGTTTCTTGTATACTTGCTTGTTGTTATAGAATAGCATTGGCAAGTTGTTGCACATAGACTTTGAGGATGGTAAGCAATTACAGTTGGGGGCATAGAACAGATGAGGCTCCTCAATATGTGCTTCAGTTTCCTAGCAAATGGAGCAGGTTGTGTGTGCATAAAGTATCATGCTAAGTTTATGTAGAAAACTACAGCTGCTCTTGAAACCATTATTTAGAATTGTTGCAGGTAATGAATGTCCATTGACAAACAGAAGTCAGCCATAAAACAAAGCATCACTCATATCATTCTCCTCT